ACGAATTCCGAACGAATTTTCCTTCTGTTCGTTTCTCACGCTAATTGCGCCGGTGCCAAATACGGATCGATGAATTATTGAAAACCCTATTGCATAATTACACAAACAGATTTGATCATCAATCTCAATTGAATTGAATCATCCTTTTTGCAATAAATAAGCATGCAAATTTCGTAAGCAATTTTGGTTCATCGATGAATCACAGATGGCGTCACTTTAAGATATTAAGTATCACTTTTAACTTTTATAAAGTACAAAATAACGATTGTAGATGGCGTTTCGATAATAATTTTAGTTTTTTTTTTCTTATTTTGTTTCAGATTCGTCGGTGGTAAATGTGCGATTATTTCCAAAATAAAAATAAGTGCCTCGATCCTTTCCCTTCGGTTTTAAAGTAATTTTTTGATACAGCATTTATTTAATTTGTAGCAAAATATATTTGCTACTTTTGAAATTTTATTTATTTTTTCTTAAAATTTAGTAGTCTTAATTAATTAATTAATTAATAATGAGCGATCTGTCCGATCTGCTGTCCCCCGGGGGCGGCGGCGGCGGCGACGAGATCGCCGAAGACGCGCGTTCTACGGCCGGAAGTGAACGGTCGACGAGCAGCGCGCGTTCCGGCATTCCGAAATTCTCCGGAAGTCAGTCCAGGCCCGGATCGAGGATCGGGCAGGCGACGGGAGCTTCGAGCAAGTTCGCTTTGCCGCCGACAGGATGCAGCACACCAAAAAGTAAGTCTTTTTTGTTTATTTTGACATTGACAGATAGATACGAAACGCTTCTCGTTTTTGTTTCGTTTCTCATATTTTCGTTTTCCAATTGGATCAGTTCAAACACGATGATTTATTCATAAAAGAAATAAAATAATTTGTAGGCAACCTAATTGACGTTACATTCAAACGTCAATTGACAATTGTTTTTTTTTAACAATTGACGTCTTAAAGAGATTTTGTTTTTGAACTGATCAAGTATTACAAATTGATTTTCTTTTGGAAAATCGAAGTTTGCTAAATAATGCGGTAAGTGTACGAATTCGCTTGTTTGTCTTTATTTAGTTTTATTTTTTTTGTGTGTGTGCGTTTCCAATTTAAATTATTTGCATATAAAGAGAGTAGTTTTTTTTTCTTGATTTTATATCTAATCATCAATAATTTCATACAAAGTCTAGTAATTTTTTATTATTTCGCGTTGTCTAACCTGCATAAAAATAATTTGTTTCTCGAATGTAGATGGAGACACCATGTGTTATATAACAATATACAATTGATATGTTTGTTGCATATACTGCTGTAAGATATGAGACACTTAGGCTACTTTACACGAATTATAAAACATTCAAACTGTCATCTGCAGATTCAATATCAAAATTATTAACAAATATTATTGACTTAGGTACATTACGCAATCAGTAATTCGTAAAATTACTGAACAATTTCAATTTGACAACTATTAGGTACAACATGTGTCACAGATACTTTGTTTCTTGAATGTAGATGGAAGCACTATCGGTGTTACGTAACAATACAAATGGTAATTAATTGTTATGTTTGTTGCATATACTACTATCAGATATGAGCCTTATTCAATTTCGAAATTATTAACAAATATTATTGACTTAGATACATTACAAAACCAGTAATTTGTTAAATTATTGAACAATTTCAATGTGACAACTATTACGTACAACATGTGTCATAGATACTTTGTTTCTTGAATGTAGATGGAGGCACTATCGTCGTTACGTAACAATACAAATGGCAATTAATTGTTATGTTTGTTGCATATACTAATGTCAGATATGAGCAATATTCAATTTCGAAATTATTAACAAATATTATTGACTTAGATACATTACAAAACCAGTAATTTGTTAAATTATTGAACAATTTCAATGTGACAACTATCACTTACACCATGTGTCATTGATACTTTGTTTCTTGAATGAAGATGGAGGCACTATCGGTGTGACGTAACCATACAAATGGTAATTAATTGTTATGTTTGTTGCATATACTAATGTCAGATATGAGCAATATTCAATTTCGAAATTATTAACAAATATTATTGACTTAGATACATTACAAAACCAGTAATTTGTTAAATTATTGAACAATTTCAATGTGACAACTATTACGTACAACATGTGTCATAGATACTTTGTTTCTTGAATGCAGATGGAGGCACTGTCGGTGTTACGTAACGATATAAATGTTAATTAATTGATATGTTTGTTGCATATACTACTGTTAGGTATGAGCCTTATTCAATTTCGAAATTATTAACAAATATTATTGACTTAGATACATTACAAAACCAGTAATTTGTTAAATTATCGAACAATTTCAATGTGACAACTATTACGTACAACATGTGTCATAGATAATTTGTTTCTTGAATGCAGATGGAGGCACTATCGTTGTTACGTAACGATATAAATAGCAATTAATTGATATGTTTGTTGCATATACTAATGTCAGATATGAGCCATATTCAATTTCAAAATTATTAACAAATATTATTGACTTAGATACATTACAAAACCAGTAATTTGTTAAATTATCGAACAATTTCAATGTGTCAACTATTACTTACAACATGTGTCATAGATACTTTGTTTCTTGAATGTAGATGGAAGCATTATCGGTGTTACGTAAGGATACAAATGTTAATTAATTGTTATGTTTGTTGCATATACTAATATCAGATATGAGCCATATTCAATTTCAAAATTATTAACAAATATTATTGACTTAGATACATTTCAAAACTAGTAATTTGTAAAATTATTGAACAATTTCAATGTGACAACTATTACGTACATCATGTGTCATAGATAATTTATTTTTTGAATGCAGATGGAGGCACTATCGGTGTTACGTAACGATACAAATTTTAATTAATTGATATGTTTGTTGCATATACTACTACTGTTAGATATGAGCCATAATCAATTTCAGAATTATTACCAAATATTATTGACTTGGATAATTACGAAATCAGTAATTTGTAAATTTATTGAACAATTTCAATGTGACAACTATTACGTACAACATGTGTCATTGATACTTTGTTTCTTGAATGTAGATGGAGGCACTATCCGTGTTACGTAACAATACAAATGTTAATTAATTGATATGTTTGGTTGCATAAACAAAAGTTTTTTATATCATTGTCATAATTACTTAATGCTTAATTTTAATTTAAAGAAAGCAGATCAATATTACATAATAAGTTTTTCATAAGTTTTGTTTAAAAATATCATAATTAAATTACATAATTTATAAATTAGTTTCTATAGAAACCGTAAATGACAGATAAATATAGGTTAGGTTTTTTTTTTAAGTAAAACTAAATAGAAACCGGTAGTAGTTCTTTTTGTTTTTGTTGTTTTGGATCGTGTATTTGGAGCGCGTTTCTTCTTCCCGCTTCTGGTCTTTCTTTCTTTCGACATGAATTGAATTGTAGAAATGTTGGGGACGTGGGTGTTTAGAAGGAAAGCGTCTGAGAATCGGATACGTTATGGTTGTGGAACGAAGAATGTAATACGTTTTTGGTGTATATAAAAAAAGAGAGTAGACGAATGATCGAGTGGGCGACGAAACGTCATCTCTGGTAAACAGATTAATTCGCGATTTCCTTCTGCAAGACGCCCCATTTCATTGGAATCGTAAAGAAAAAAACGATTTTGGAAGACAACAATTTCTTAAAATCGCATTCAATTCATTCCAATTGATTCAATTCACATAAATTTCTTGTTTGATTATTTGAACTGTCACTGCCATTAGATGCGGTTACTTTAAATGTGACCAACTTAAATCAGTTACGTCAATTATAAATTTGTCACTAACAAACAAACAAAAAATGACAGGAATGTAACTATTTCAACACATTTGAAATGTATATATTTGTTTTGTTTTTGTTGATTGTGGGCGAGATTATTAAATCTCAGTAGTCATTGAAAAAAAAAGAAGCACAAAAGAAGAAGAAAAAAACAAAACACAAATCATCGGAATTACGTGGATTTTGAAAACGAACAAAAAAAAACAATGGACAAGTAATTTTATGCAACACCCGCACACTTGACCACGTGAAGTCACCTGAAAACGGACAAGACAAACACTTTGAAACAGTTGGAATTAATGCATATTATATCATCGCATTTGCGTCTTTACAAAATAATAAAAATTATTATACGAAATTGTAATTTGCATCTGTTGCTCGAACGCATTACATTTTCATTTAAATAATCCTTTCATTTGTAACAATAACAAAAACAATCGTTTATTATAATTTACAAATTTTTCACATTTTTCTTTTTGTTAATAACTCCAAAGTTATAAAACTTTTTCAATATTTTATTTTTACATCAGAAGCGCTTTTTTGTTGCGCTTACTTTGATGTTTTTGATATTGCTTAATGTAAATTAATTTTTCGAATATAGCGATTTTTTCAAATATTTTTGTATTTTTTTTAATTAACTCGAAAATTTTAAAACTTTTTTAACAATTTCTTTTTTGATTAAAAGCGGTCTTTAAATGCGCTCACGTGGATATAATTACTGTTACTTAATTCAAATTAATCTTCGAGATATGGTAGATTTTTGATGATAAATTTATAACAAAAAAAATATCTGATTTTCTAAATAAATTCATACGATCTTTTATAGACTATAAGCTAAGATTTTGCAGCTTTGTTCGCGTTTTTCCTTCGTTTGCAGAAATGAATACATTCTTCTCAAATACGGTCCTCATCCTCAACATTCCATCAGTTTCTTTGTGCGACCGCTCGACCCGTTTAGAAGGTATAATCGAAAATGATAAATAAATACATTCGCAAATGTTGCAAAGTTTTCGCGCTGCATTTCACGTCCATCGATGTCTGCTGTTTCAGTCAGTGCCTTTCAAATCTTAACTGCGCACGATCAGAACTCCTCCTCTTATCTTTTGTTTCTATCTCTCTCTCTCTCTCTCTCTCACTTCAACCAATCAGACATTCCCGACTTCACCAAACCCATTCAACAACAATCCGTCGACAACTCCGGTTGTTTCATTCCTCATTCTCCATTTCCATAACAACCACAAACAACAACAACAAAAATAAAACAATAATAATTACACTCATCTGTCTACAAATAAACCAGCCAACTCGGATCTAAAATCCAGGATTTTTATAAATTTTCGTTTCGATAAAAGTTCAAGTTTTTTTGTTTGGAGATGAGTTATCGCGGTGAGTACACACACACACACACGTAGGATATTTCTAATAACCCAAAAACACCAATAAAAAAATCTTGCACTAAAGAAAATGACCAAAAAAAACTACATCAATTATATTAATTAATACGATTATTGCATACAATTTGTGTGTGGGAAATTGCATTCTTTTTTTTTTGTATTTAATAAGCAATTACTTGCACAACTTTTATGAACTTCCAATAATAAACACACGTTTGAAATGTGAGCAGATCGTGGGATTCGCGGTGATCCCATCAATTGTGCAATTTGCAGAAAACATTACTTAAGTTCACTTTACTTAACTATAAAATAGTCTTTGGTTTTAACGATTTTTTATTAAATTTTGTTATATTTGTTCTAAATCACTTAAAATTTAGAAAAGTGCAATTTTTATTATCATTTTGTAATCTTTAATCATAAAAAAAATAAGTTATTTGATGAAGAGAAATTTTTGTACTTTCTATAGAAAAATCTAGTAGGCAATTCAATTTTTAACTCAAAAAATGCGAATTTATTGGAAAAAAAGAGAAACTCGTTGAATAAAACAAATTTTCCTTTTTTGTTTTGTGTGTATTGAAACTAACACATTTGATTTTTTTTGCTTATAAATTATAAAGTTTTTCATCTCGGAAAATTCTCAACATTCTAAAAAAAAAAACAACAAATAACAGCATTAACTAAGTAAAAAATAAGAATAAAGTGAGTGGGTTTTGTTTTTATATAGAAACCATGGAAACAAAGGAAAAATTTTGTTATTGGAAAGTTTTGTTTTTTTTTGTTAGAAATATGCATTCGTTGCTAATTCATTCTTGACTAATTTATTCAATAATTATCGTACTTTTTTTTTCCAATAAGATTCATGTTGATTAATCGCACATGTTCATGAAGAATCTATATGATTTCTTAATTTTTGTTTTTATTAGTTACATTAATTGTTAAAATAATTTTAGTTGGTAATAAAACTATGTCTGTCAATTATTTTGTTTCTAAGCAAACAAATGTTTTGATTAGTTCTATTAATTGTTAATATCGTTTCAGTTGGTAATGAAACGTAAATTTCAGTTGGTATTTCTCCAAAAAATGACGTTAATGTGACATTGTTTAGTAATATTTTTCAAAACAAACGAAATTCCGCAAATAACAACATACGTCAACTGTGCGGGGGTTTATTGAATGAAACGTGATTCGTGGGTTTTCCGAACAGGTGACATAATGTGGAGGTAAATTGAAAATGTGAAGCGTAAAATAATAATAATATAAGAGATAGAGACACGCGGAGAACAGATAATAATTATTGTCATTAAACCCACGTCGAGTGTTTAACTGTTAACCAAACAGCAGAGGTCTTTTATTAAAACGTTATTATTAAACTTTGTGAATGGAATGTTCTTCGAGTGTTTATGACGGAATCGGCTAACTGTTAATTTCTTATTCATTCTTACGCTCTGTTTTCAGAGCATGTAATTCGTAAAATTACGCGAAGATAAGATTCGTTTCGTTTTCATCACTATTTTTAGACAGCAACTTTTATTTCGGAAAACGTGTAAACAAATGACTCGAAGAGTTTTGATCCCATTTTTTTTATTTGTTTGTTTGTTAGTATTTTCATGTTTTGATCTGATTTTGTTTCTCTATACTGTTTTGTTTATTCGTTGTTTTCAATTTGACATTTGACGTCAACAAATTAAGATTTTGTTTTATAATGCACTGTTTTGTTTATTCATTGTTTTCAATTTGACGTTTACTTTGACGTTTTTACTTTACTTCAAACGAATTATGATTTTGTTTCACAAAATGGAATCCGTTTCTATATGTTTTGTTTTCAATTTGACGTTTACTTTGACATTTGACGTTTCTTACTTTACGTCAAAGAAATTAGGATTTTGTTTTCAAATGGAATCTGTTTCTATACAGTTTTGTTTATTCATTATTTTCGATTTGACGTTTTTACGTTTGACATTTGACGTTTTTACTTTATGTCTAACGAATTATGATTTTGTTTTAAAATTGAGTCTGTTTCGATATGTTTAGTTTTCAATTTGACGTTTCATACTTTACTTCAAACAAATTAGTATTTTCTTTTCGAACGAAATCTGTTTCTATACTGTTTTGTTTATTCATTATTTTCAATTTGACGTTTTTACGTTTTACCTCAAAAAATTGATGCTTTTGTTTCTCAAACTGGAATCGTTTTTTTTTTATGTTTCGTTTAATCATTGTTTTAAATTTGACGTTTACTTTGACGTTTGACATTTTTGCTTTACGTCAAACGAATTACGATTTTGTTTTAAAATGAAATCCGTTTCTATATGTTTTGTTTTCAATTTGACGTTTACTTTGACGTTTGACGTTTCTTACTTTACGTCATTAAATTGGAATTTTCATTTAAAATCTAATAGATCTTTATACATTTTGTTTATTCATTATTTACAATTTAACGTTTTACGTCAAACAATTTGTGCTTTTGTTTCTCAAACTGGAATCGGTTTTTTACGTTTTGTTTATTCATTGCTTTAAATTTGACATTTGACGTTTTTAATTTATGTCAAACAAATTATGATTTTGTTTCACAAAATGGAATCTGTTTCTATATGTTTTGTTTTCAATTTGACGTTTAACATTTGACGTTTTTATTTTACGTCAAACTAATTACGATTGTATTTTAAAATAAAATCAGTTTCTATATGTTTTGTTTTCAATTTGACGTTCACTTTGACATTTGACGTTTCTTACTTTGCGTCAAACAAATTACGATTTTGTTTTCAAACGGAATCTGCTTCTATACTGTTTTCTTTATTCATTGTTTTCAATTTGACGTTTTTACGTTTTACGTCAAAAAATTGGAATTTTGATTTAAAATGGAATAGATCTGTATATATTTTGTTTATTCATTATTTTTAACGTTTTACGCTTTTCTTTCTCAAACTGGAATCGGTTTTTTATGTTTTGTTTATTCATTGCTCTAAATTTGACGTTTGACATTTGACGTTTTTACTTTACGTCAAACAAATTATGATTTTGTTTCACAAAATGAAATCCGTTTCTGTATGTTTTGTTTTCAATTTGACGTTTGACGTTTTCTTTGGTTATATCTTGATGTGATATAACAAAACAGAACAAATGAAAATTTAATCTTAACTAGTAATCTAGATAGCGATGAAGTGCAGTTTGATGTTGCAAACCTAGGCGATTGATGCGTTTCTGCGTTTGCAACGCGATTGATTTATATTGGTTCTTAAACGCTTCTCCAAAAGGAGTTACAAGAATCGGTTAATTGCACAACCCGCGATGAATACGCAAGGAGCGCGTCTTCTGCGCGCCATGAATTATGCAACGACTTTCAGTTACGACCGTTTCAAATTCAAACGTACCAATTCGATCCGAAAATAGTACGAAAATCTACTACATTATTATTTAATTATGTTCATCAATCAAACGTAAATCATTCATTTTTTTTTTGGTTAATCGGTATTCAAATTACGTTCGCGTTAAGATTGATGTGCATTTGTTTGTTTGTTATTGTTGCACTTTCGTGGGCGCGTTTCTGGAACAACTCCTTGACACTTCGCTACGATCCGTCTCTCTCTTTATCTATCACCTAGGCAACTGTCGAAGGTCAGACGTGATCCTTCTTGATCCCATTACAGTATTGTCTACTCTTTTTTTTCTTTACAATCTCGTGGGTGGCCGAAAGCGTAATTAACAACAATCGACGGAAAAAGGCAAAGAAAAAGCACTAAACTTCCGATTTGCCATTGTTCTCTCGCCGGTTACATAAACCGTATCATCATCAACGACGTTGCCTTTGTTTCATTCAATTCCATCTGTCACTTTTGACAGTGACAGTTCTTTTACGTCAATTTTTGATTGCATTGTTTTAAGTTCGAAATCATCATTGAACTGCCATAATTCTTCATTATCACATATCGTTTTCTTAACTAAACAATAACTCACTCTATTTGAAAGGTAAATTCTTATAAAACACATCAACGTTTCAATTCCACTTGTCATTTTTTTGACAGTTTGTAACTGTCAATTCCACTTGTCATTGAATTGACAGTTCGTAACTGTCAATTCAATTAGTTGTATAACCAATAAAACATGTTGTTTTCTTAACATTAAATTCAATTGTTTATTAATACTTTATTAATTATTTTCAAGTTGACATTGCTTTTTACACATTTTCATGTTTACTTTCTAAACGCGAGTAGATAAACACAGATTTTGTTTAAGTTTTCAAAGATGTTTGTCTCGTCGCAAATTTCATACGATTCCTCCGGATTTAACGGCTGTTTTTCCGCCAAAGAAATGTTGTCATTCCGTTATTTCTTCGCTGTCGCAAAAAGATCCTACGCACATATGAGAAAACAAATGTGACAAATCGAAGCCTTCTAGAATAATAATACGTAATTGGAAAATTGATTTAATTGCTTTTGTTTTTTGTAATCTAGATCAAATAAAGTTGCATAACTCTAGGAGTTTTCCACGTTAATAATAATAATAACAACAACGATTAACATGAATACGATAATTCGTTTTTCTTATTGTTGTGCAAGGATTTGTTCGGTGCGTAAAGTCGCAAATCCAATTAAATTAGCGAATGTTGAAATAACTGTGAAAACAGTTTAATATTTGGGTTAATAATTAGAGTGAGTGGAAATAGTTTGCGAGAATTGTAAAGTCTAAATAATATGAAACGAGTGTTGTTTTTTTTTTGTCTTATAACAGCACAAACAATTTATTGAACTTTCGAAATGGCAAATTTATGTACTATTAGGAGAAGGAAACGAAAAAGAAAAAAGGAGCAGCAGCAAGGAGAGAAAACAAGCCTTAAAACAACATTTACTCTTTGATTACGCGATCCGCCTTAAAGTGCATTCCTTTGAAAGTTCACGTAGCGTAGAGAGGAGAAAATGTATTAAAAAAAATAAACGAAAATTTAATGGAAATTTGTTCATTTGTTCGATCGTGGAAGGAATTTTCCGATCGTAGGTGACGACGTCCGCCCGTAAAACGTAAACAAAACGCGAAACGTCGACCACAACAATAATAACGAATTGCATCAGTGGTGGCGATGTTTACGCAACGCAGATACGTCGTGTATGGAAATTAGTTTTTCGCGAGAATTTGTTGATGGTTTCCATGGAAATACGCTTTCGAAATGACAGGAGAAGAAGAAAAAAAACAAATATGTCGTCGAAGAAACAAAAAAAAAACAAAAAACAGTATTAATTGTCAAACTTCAAAACAACATGATTTTTATGGAAATTATTTTAAAAATTTCGTAATTTTTCATTAAGGAAACATATAATTAAATTTGTAGTGTTGCTATGGTGATTTATATAATTACTAAATCATACGAAATACAATAGTTATGTTTAAGGTTACCATGGAGATGATTAATACGGTCACGTAATCGGTGGACAAAGATTTGCCTTGCAAAGTATTTAGAGATTAGCGAAAATTTACAAAATTTCAAGGTGATCGAAATGCATTTTGTTTTATCATTCTTGCTACTAATTAATGTCAGGTTATTATTGTTGTTGTTGTTATTGCTTGTTTTCTGCCATTACCGTTATAACGAGAACATAAAATAAAAATGATGATGATGTTTATGCATAACGTTTCCATGGATGCAAAACAATGTTTCGTTTCGTCGCCGCCGCCGCCTTATGCAACGGATTTGAAAATCCTCATAACCTCACATCTATTAATTAACAAATGGCGGAGCGTGACCAAAAACAAAACATAAAACAAAAGTATGTAGTAGTTTCTGGAAATATTCCTTTCAAGATTACAAGTGTTCATATCTATCTTATCTAAATTAGTGTATATTTATCTCTAGTATTAACGAAACTCATATAAAATTCAAGTTTAAGTTACTTAATTCTAAGAATTTCTAATTGCTTTATCGTGCAGATTGTAAATTTGCATTTGTTTCATGGCAATCTTCGATTGGATCAAAATTTTCAATAATTTTCTTCGAGATAAAAGGAAACTCGTACAGTCGACTTGGTTGGTCTTTTGTGTTTACATTGCATTCCTCTGCAAGTAGGTCAGTCGTAAAACTGAACGGAATTCCCTGTTTCTTTTTGCAAAAATTCTATTACTCGTTTGATTCACTTAATTCCTAAACTATATAAATAGACTCTTAGAGTTTAGTAATTTGTTGACATAATTCGATATTTTTGTGCACTAACGTGGAGTATGAACTAGTCTCATTTTCTATTTTTTTTTTTAATTAAAATTCTCTCCATGAAATGCAATTTCCAACGATTTCGTTTCGTGAATGAACAAATGCAGCGATTCCAATGTCGCACTCTCGATGTGAACTTGACCCACAGACAAACGACTCCTTGATCCTCTTTTCCGTCTATTTTTAGTCGCCTACGTGATTTGTCTCCTCTTTTGTTTTCCATCTCTCTCTCTTTTCTTTATAACGAAATTTATTAAAAATATTCCATTTCTAGTCAATTCTTTACCTTTTCTCTTTTTATTTAAAAAGAAAAATTATTTCGTTTTGTTTTATTCACAAAAAAAAATCTTAAATAAACATTCCGCAAATATTCGTGAATGTTTTCACATCGGAATGCGTTCGTATGTTTATATACACATACGATTTCTGCGTTTATTTGATGAAGTTTATGGACTGTTCAGGGTGGAAACAAATAAATAACGTTTCTTTTTTTTCGTCGTGCCGAATTTTTTCGAGGAAGATTTACGATGTTTTTTTTTTTGTTTCTTTCGAAATCGCTTTTGATGAAGCGTTTATGGACTTCTGGAATTCCAGAATGACTAAATGCGAAGAATAGAGCGTGGCCATGAAAGAAACGTTAACATTTTGTTTTATCAACATTTTTTTTTGTTTTCTATTGAGGTTACGTCAGATTACATTTGACAGTCTTGTTTTGTTGACATAACAATGGGATGTCATAAAACAAACGTAAATATTTTGTTTTATCAACATTTTTTGTTTCCTATTTAGATTACGTATGATTATATTTGACAGTCTTGTTTTGTTGACATATCAACGGGATGTCATAAAACAAACGTAAACATTTTGTTTTATCAATATTTTTTTGTTTCCTATTGAGGTTATGTCAGATTACATTTGACAGTCTTGTTTTGTTAACCTAACAACGAAATGTCATGAAACAAACGTAAACATTTTGTTTTATCGACATTTTTTGTTTCCTATTGAGGTTACGTCAGATTACATTTGACAGTCTTATTTTGTTGACCTAACAACGTCATGATACAAACGTAAACATTTTGTTTTATCAACATTTTTTGTTTCCTATTGAGGTTACGTCAGATTATAT